GTGACTGCCCAGCCATTGCTTGTGTAGGCTGATATACTATCAGACTACAAATGGTCTCAGAAAAAGTTGCTTCAGAATTTGAAGACTCTACCAATGATCTAGGAACAGCCATTGAATCCCTCAGCAAGGAGACGCAGCAAGAATCTTTCCCCTCTAAAATAGGTCAGATTATCTCCTGCCATTTCAAGGAGGAACATTGCATTAATTAGATCTCAATGTTGTATCTATATAAGTAACAGTCCCCACGAGATGTATCAAAAGGTGATTGAGGCAGAAACACATGCCCACAAAGGAGCCCAAACTGCATACAACCCCCCTGAAAATGACTGGTTACAAAACTTGTTCTCTGGATAAGGATTATCACCATAGTTTAGTAGTCCATTTAGTTCATTGCTAAAAAGTCTTTTACCTGTGGTTATTATGGTTCTGATAGCCTGCTGTGTTTTTACTTGTATTCAGAATTGTTTACAGAATATGCTTATGAAATCTATACGAGGGTATCAAAGAATCCTCATACAAGACCAACTATAGATGGGCAGGGATGCCCGAAAAAAAGACAAAGGGAGGACTGTTATGGAAGAAATTTGATTAACTATATTCTTCTCTCCAAATAGCCTCGTTTAGCATTAGCAGATTAGCACTAGTAGCTAAAGTAGTTGAAGCCTCAGGCTGCAAGAGCTGACCAAGAGTAAACTTTTTGATAAAACTAACGCTGCTAATGCAGAACTAGCTGAATCCAGCAGATGTGAGCAGAATGAAGGGGGACGGAGGAAACGATTCCAAGAGAATGAGGTAACTTCAGAAGAAGGCCAGCCCAGCGACAGTGAAAAATCAGTAAGAAATCAAGAGACCACCCACCAGAATTAAGTGAGTGGACTTGGGGATCAGGTGATGGGTGTACAGGTATAACTGAGGGGCATGATGTGGGGCAGGGGTCCCTCTCTGGAGGCACCCAGCTCGAGCTGTAACCCGAGAACTGATAAAAGAGGAACTGGAAACCTTCACTCAGACTTTACATTAATCAGTGGGATACTGGGGTCGGAGCCTGTTAGGGTGGCTGGTGTGCGTAAATCCATATACTGGTGCAGGTATTCCCATGAGGAAAGGAAAATAAATTCTACTCCTGTGAAGCATCCACACTACTGATTAGACTGATACAATTACATTGATAATAAAAGAACATCAGACCTTTAATTAGCCCAGTGGTACCAAAGCCCATGTGTACTCTGCAGTGCCCTTTCTCTTTTTTTCAAACCCAGGATTTGGGTCTGTTTTCTGTAACTGCATCCCTCACCTACAGAAATTTGGCAATTTGTACCATCTAAAGTTGGTTTCTCTGGAAACAGGCTACAGTTTCTTCCAGCTTCACAGCAAGAGCTGCTGAACTCCAAGACAAACAAATGTAGCAACTCTGTTCATTTGCTTCCCCAAGCTGATGAACTTGACTCAGGAGTCACAGATTATTTTCCTCCTTCTTATTCACTCCGTGAGGCCAACCCCATGAGGAGCTTTTGACTTGAGAAAACACTGAAACCCCTAAGTACCTTTTACAAAAGGAAGCTGGAATAGGAAATCTCACATGGGCCAGAGAACTATCAGACAACATCGGCTTGAGTAACAGAACGGGTGAGTGGAAGGCATCAGGACCATTTCCTAAAAGAGAGCCCTTCTCTGTGGTGCCTCTCTTCTCCCCAATCTTACAACCTCTGAGAACATCCTACTTTTCTGCAAGGACTCTTGGATATTACTAACACATTGCTGCTTGCTACGTTATCAGTCTGTTACTAGTCACTCAACTCACGGTCTTCTGAGCTCCTTCCTTCACCAAGCCATTCATCAAACAATCTGGAATCGCTCAGACACCCAAAATGCGCCCTGCTAGCACAGGACAAAGCAGTGGGTGTTTGAACACCCAGGAAAGCAGAGTGTTTCTTACCAGATTTTCCTCCTGGTGTCACACAGTATGAGGTGAGGTTATCAGACCCTATCTTCTTTTCCCCCTTAGGGACCTGGATACACAGACTGCGTGTAGCCAGCGTGCGGGTACCTAGCCCTTTCTCAGTTAGGTGCAAATTACCTCCCCTATTCCACATGGCGAGCCTTGTGCCTGGGCTGCCAGCATATGGCAAGGCAGGACTCCAGCTTCTGCTTTGCTAACTTGCTGTTTTATTAACGATACAGAGGAGGCGAGAAAGAAAAGGCTAGGGGAATGTCAGGAAACTTTCCTGTCCAATATGTGAGATCCTGTCCAAACTATCTCCTCAGCAGATGTCTTAAACTACAGGGACTCTTCCTTCTCTTGAAAGGTGTATGGCAGACCAGGAACTCTGCGGCAGGGATGAGGCCAATTGGCCCTGCGCACTCACGAAATAAAAATGAAGGCTCAGAAGCTATCAAACTCACGCTTTTATTAATCTACTCGTAAGTTGCTGTGACAGCCTAAATAGACTTCAGTGCTTTCACTAATGGGTATTTTAGCAGACATAAGCTGCCATAAAACACAAGATTACTTGTTTGAAGCCTTAGTGTAACTGCTGTGCCAGTAGAGCATTACAGAAACCATTGAATATTACATATTTCATTAAATACTAAAATTAAATTGCCCATATGTACTTGATGTAAAACTCTTCCTATCTAATTTGCACCAGTGATACACATGTAAATGATCAGAGCTGGAGGAGGGCAGATAATTGGTAATATTTAATAGTTTGTTTAAATTAGCTAAAGCAAGTATAAGGGTTTTCCTCTAGGTAGAAGATTCAGGGTATCCTGGTAAGATAAGGACAAGGCAAAGCAGGCAGCCACAAGAGAGTTTTCAGAGTGCTAGACAAGTATTCAAGACACTGAGATATTTTTAGGGTCCAGGCTCAGCTTGAGCTCCTGTGGGGGTGCAGCATCAGTAGATTCAGCATTGAGAGCTCACGCTGAGCACATCAGAGGCTGCAGGAGAAAACCAGCTGCAGAGCATGCCACAGGCGAGCATGAAGGCGGCGAGGAGGAGGAAGGCAGAAGTGTCATGCTCCACCTCGGGCAGACTTAGCAAGACAGTGGGCTGAGGGCCAGACAGAGGGGCAGGAGTGTGAGAACTAGGTTGCTAAACACAGTGAAACACAAGCAGCTGAAAAACTTCACAGCAATGATGGAGAGGAAATAACAATACCCTCAGTTCCCCAATTCAGTTCTCATCATCACGTAGAATTAGAAACTGCCCAAACTGTCCTACCTCATGCAGATTTTCAGACAAGGGAGGAGACACAGAGCTCTGGTGTCAGGATCCAGCCTTGATTTTGCTGATTAATCGCAAGCAGAAATACATCACAAGATGCAGAAAAGGCCCACCTGGTCTTCAGTCCCTTCAGGGATGCAAAACCAATGCAAGTTTCCTTTTCAGAATTTAAGAATGTGATTAAAATGGCACATTAAAAGGAATGAGGGCATGTTTGCCTTTGCTCAGTTCCTTTTTTCAGCTTTCCTTACAGGAAACTTTCTTTAAATTCTTGTTTTTATTTTCTAGGTGTCACATTAATTCCAAAGATGAGTTGTCTTCTCACATGGGTGAGGAAACAGAACTTTATCATCTTTTCCTCCCCAAAACTTCCCCCTCTACTCCAGGGGGCATGAGACAAAACAGTGCATTGCAAGGAAAGCTTACGCTTATGATTAAATTGTCACAGCTCTTCTTCAGTAATGCAAGGAAGCAACAGAAAAGCCCTCCAGAGATGGGGGAGTAAGGGGGTCTTCAATTATGTACATAGATAAGAGAAGAAAGAGTTTGCTTTTCTCACATCATCAGCAAATGGTTGGACAGGGCACTCAACTCCACAAATTTTGATTTGACTAGCTGAGTAAACTGATGCTTCCTATCACAGCAGTGACACTGGTTCTATACTATATGAGGCACAAACTAGAGCTGGCAGGTGAAGGTTCCCTGTGCTCCCACCAATTCAGATCCCACTGCTGTGTCTTTTGGGTGCTTTTCCCCCTCTCCTTGCCTGCTAAGTGCAAAGGGCATCAACTATAAGGAATTCAGAAATCTCACGTGATTGAAAACAGACACGGGCTTTGGGTTTCATAGCAGGTATAATTTAACAAAAAAATCAAAATATATTTTTCTGACATATTTTTAGAAAAAAGTTTTAAAAATTATTTGCCCAGGTCAGGTTAAAATGATTTAAAAGCATAATTATCAGGAAGCACTCTTCAAAAGTGACATTTCACATCATCATCATCTTTTCCATTAAAGCAAAGGTCATAGTTCTAACATATTTTCAAATACAGACTTCACTGCAAATATTGATTAATAAAACACTGAATAGCAACACTTACTCCTCAAAACTCTACACATCTCCCAAGGTCAGTCCTGGCCCACTGCCACCTTGACTTTTTTTGCACATTATAAACCACATTAACACAGGACTAAGGGAATTAGACCCAGTGGAGAACAGAACAGAGAAATATTATCAGAGGAGCAAGAAAACTGGGAGATATTTCCACAGCCAGAATTGTAGACCTGCTGGTAACACTACCTATATTTGCTGCCTTTCTCACTGAATTGGCTGCAGTAAAAGCCAAACCTCCAATTACCACCAGCTCAGATTGTACTCAGACTGTACACAGCCTACCTTCCTCTTTCCTTTAAGGACACTACAATTCAAATCAAGTTTTCTCATTAGAGTATGCCCACAGTGAATTTTACCCATCTCATAAAAAGAAGTAATAAACAGAACTATTGCAGAACTAATTAACATCTATTAATAGAGAGTAAGAAAAAAAATAAGTAAGAACGTAAGAAAACAAGATCCAAGACAAGATTCAACAGTAACTAAACGCATGTTAACAGAGCCCTTTAAATCAACGGTTTGCTTTGTGCCCGCACAACCAAGACACAGGCAACATCCTCTGATATTACGTGTCTTCTAGCTGAGTTCCTCCATAAGCACTGACAGCCTTGATAAGGATTGTCCTTGCTTCTGTTGCACTGAGTGATCTTGCTCAGTTATCTAATTTAATTTTACTGATTTCTTCTTCTTGGCTTGTTGTTTGGACACGGTGCCCAGAGCAGATTCTGAAATACCCACTGATGTCTGAGGCAGGAGTAGTTTTCCAGACTGTGTTGGGTACTTGGTTTTCATAAGGACTTTAAACAGTGGCTGGGACAAGAGATGTTTTAATTGTTTTTTCATCCCCTTCAGCATCTTTTGCTTCTGGCTTTCTTCTTGCTCACTAGCTTTTCCTCCTTGGGGCAGAAATCAAAGATACAGAACATTACAAGAGAAGAACTTGCATTGGCCTCTTTCACCAGACTTTTGCAGTGCTAGGGGCAGATGCTAATCTCATCTTTCTCTCTGTCACAAGGTCACTCAACTCCCATACAGTCTTCCAGTCATCTGTGACACTTTCAGACCACCCAGGTTGTCCACAAGATAACAAGATCAAGAATTCTGACTACTGAGTAACTATAGCCCAGGTATCATTCTGCTAAATCATTCAGTTGGTTCTCAACCCAGAACAGACTCGGGAACAAAAGGAAAAGGGGCCCAGAAGATAAAATATTAACCCAGGGCTCCTAGCTCAGGCAGAAGCTTCTTCTGCGTACTTTGTTACTTTATGCATGCCTCATTTCAGCACCCGTAAAACAGGAAGCCCTTTCATCCTTATACATAAAAAACAATGAGGTGTTCAGATTTAATAACATAGGAGAAGGGCATAGAAAAGACTGGGATAGTTAATATGGCCAGAGGCCTGAACTGGAGAAAATAAATGAAATCAAGGTTGCTGTAATGTAATGTAAATGAAAGGACATTAGTAAATCCTTTTTAACAGTTTAAGAGGCATTTTATTTATGGGAGAAATAACTGAGATCTTAATGTGTCTCCAACAAGCTACAGAAGACTCAGTGAATACATTTTACAGCATGAATCTGGCAAGATTTTAGGTGGCAATTACAAAGTGCTTCACTCGAGAGCCACAACTAACTTGGACTGGATGTGCTGTTTTGAAACTCTTTTCAAAGCACAGCATACTCAGATTATGTCAAAACAAGACAGCAGAGTACTAATTATCTGAGAGCGCTCCTGAACAGTTTGGACAGAGATGATTAGTGCTTGCTTGCAAAGCGGTTGAGAACAAGCTAGTTCAGCCATGAATAAAGAAAAAAATTAATCTGAACATGCTTCAAAATTAGGCATCTGCATATTTAGCAGCTAACAGGTTAGAGACAGCTTAAGCTGGAGTGACGCAGACAGCAGTGCTATTCAGCATGCCTTCAAGGAACTGGTAGGAAATGATACCTTCATGCCTTTGAACACAACGTGGCATTTTACAGTGCACTAAGCAGTGCAAACCTTCATGGCATTGAACTAATAGGCACCTGTAGTTGCACAGCCCTACACATTCTCTCAAGCACAGCCTGCAGAACATTTAATTTTAAAAATATAAGAAATTATTTCCTTCTAACACACCACCAAAAACCTCAGCAACTTGACTATAAGTATTGGCCACTTAGCCCACACAACTCAACCTACATAAGGCTCAGATAATTTCCGATGTTTGCTAGTGTTTCCTGGGTTTTCCTGCACAGAGCTGTCAGGCTCCTGTCCTGCTGCCCAAGTACAGGGAGGTGGGAGAGATAAGCAGAAGTGGAGAAACAGCTTTTTCTTTGACACAGAGGGGAAAGACCCAAGCAGGACATACTGGGCTATTAGATTACCCTAAAACCTTTGCCAGAAGCTAAACAGTTCTATGACATGTGGACTTGTCAGCAACTTGCCAGAATTGTCACGCCTCCCTCAGCTCCATCACTATCTACTGCACAAGCATCCTGAAAACACCAGGTACCAGCAGTACCATGTACTAAGCAATGACACTCCTTTCCTTCCCCTTCTGCCCTGAAGGTTCTAAGAGTTCCTCTGCCATGGTGGGGCTTCTTCTGGACACCACTGCTATGGGACCAACTGAGCATACCCATAAACAAGCATTCTACTTGCCCATAAACATGTCATCATCAAGATCAATCTCAAGAGCCTCTGCAGCTTGCTGGAGCCAGGAGTTGTGTTGCTTTGCCCGACTGTTGAAAAATTCTGCCTTCTCAATCTGCCGTGCCAAATTCATCCGCTCCTGCAACAAAAGTACATTTTAGACATTATGATCAGGTTTAAATATGGGGCACTTTAGCAGAATCAGTATTTGAACGCATGCATTACAACACAACTGAGGTGCAGAGACACTTTTGTTCCCTTCTGCTGTCCCAGCAGATGCCTCACATAATAAAGATATGTCATCACTTGCTAAAGTGTTTTCCTTCTTCAGATCCATGATAGAATCTGACTTCTAAAACACCTCAACTACTAAATATGCCTGAATTTTAACTCATTCTTTAAAAAAAAAAAATCATTACAGACACTTCAGAAACATGAAGGACAAATCATGATCACTTCCAAGTTACATATTTAGATAGTACAGCTGGATCTTAAAGTTCCTAGTCTCAGCAATAAGGGGTAGCTGTTAACTTCATCCCACTCTGAAGAAATAAGCTCCTGCAGGCCATATGTAAACAGGTACTCATGTTTTCAGAAATGCACCTGATCCTGTTTAGGCAGAGGACAAAGTGTCCTGTCCTTCTCCCCAGCTGCACACAGGTGCAACAAAGATGTCCAGCAAACCTAACCTGACCTGCAGCCTTCCAGCTGGGTCAAGCTGTTTTAAATATCTAATTCATTACGGAAAGAAAATCTGCACTGACAGTAAATAATAATCAACCCGACAGCAAATTCTGCTGTTTGGAATGTGCCTGCAGTTGCACAAAACTAACCCTGTGCAGGACACCCCCACCACCCCAGCGCAATAGTCTGGTGCTACACAGTAACAGCACCAGCCAGAACTGCTAGATAATTAAAACATAGAGAGAGGAAATTAAACTTGCAGTTGACTAACAAAACAACTCAGTCACTTCTCCTTAGATCGTTACCAGAAATAGTTTCAAATAGTTGTTCCATCTCAGTAAAACTTGAGTCCTCTTTTGGTCTCTCCTCTGCCCTGGTTCACCAATTCTATTACTCTCTAGTGTGAAATACCTTCAGACTTTTCCTGAACTTGAATGAAGGCATGCAGATCCAGGCAACGAGCATGCTTAAGGGACAGACATGAAGAACCAGCAGCCCTATTAGTCCCAACTTTGCAATTAAGCCCAGGGCAAAGTGTAAATGTGACCTGACCATGGGAAGGGCCTAGGAGGCTGGAGTCCTGGCATTATGATTACAAAGACATCTTTTCTGGGGAGAGGAGCACTGTTATGGATAGGAATGAAGATCGTGAGATGGTGACAGGAAAATTTAAGTGTGGAAACAATATTTATCTGCCCATTAATTGACAGAGCATGCTAAGAGCCAAGAACTACTCATCAAGAAACACAGAAGGGACCTCTGAAGAAACACTCTAAAAACAACAGATTTCTTTCGGTAACCAGGAACAGGAAATGGGTGGAAAGGAGAGGGGGAAAGATGGAAAACAAAAAAGATGCATCAAATTCTTTTTGGTACTACCAAGAGGAGAAAAATGAGTCTGTGGAAGCATTTCTTTTATTTTGTTTCTCTTTCAGAAAGCTGCATCATCTGAAAGATTCACACTAAATATCCCATCTGTGGCAAGCCTGGGCTCTGAAACTTGCTGACATTATTTGCAAGGTGAGGATACTCCTGTTGCCACTGAGGTAGACCCTGGGCTCACTCCAAGCCAACTTGATAAGCATGAACCAGAATACCTTAAGGAAGATAGCTGTTGCATTACCTGACTGCTTGCATTTTTCTCCCATTCTCAATGACTGCAATATTCAGGCACTCCAACCCCAGCTAGATTCCTTTCAAATAAAGTATTTAAATATGTACAAATGGGACATGGCTGATGTCACCCAAACTGGTAAGAGAATGCTGAGACATGAAATGACCTCTTATTCGATAACTAGAAATTCTGTGGTGACCAGATGCTTTCTAAAATACATTGTTTTGCAAATCCTAACCATTGTCTATCTTGTGAGTTAGTGAATGACTGAATTCTCCTTAAAACGGGCAATGAACTAGAAAAAGGAAACATACCTGGTTTGACAGAGTTCAGTGGCAGCTGTGGCCTCACAGTATAGGAACTTTTAGAAAAGCAGAGAACTCATTACTTCAACTGAGAAAAGGCATATGAAGACCACTGAAGATCCCAGGACCTGCTACTGTTCTCTAGTCTGTTCCTAACAGAAGAGGCTTAACAGAGCCATCCCAGCTCCCAGCCACAAAACATACTCGCTTCTCTGTACTGTTTTGGGGCATCTAGTCACAAGAAGCTGTACGTAACAACGTACAAGAAAAATGTAAGTGATGTTTATGTTTGAACAGCTTTCTTGGGCCAGTTATTGAGGAGAAATCACAAATATTTCTTAAAAAAAAAGTGTGATTAACTTCATTTTCAAATCCACATCCTGAAGAGTAAATTTCATCTGGAACGTGGAAAGAACATGATGGGTAATGGCAGTAATGTAAGGAAGCAAGGAACTACTTAGGCTGCAAAGAGATTGTTGTTTCTTTACCTTGATAGAAGTCATGCACTTGGTTTCAACTGGGAAAAATGGCAGCTCTTCACTCTTCTCCAACGTTTTATAAATTTTCCTAAAATTGATCAAGTCATCAGGGCCGATCAGCAATAGGCTAAGGCCTTCGTTGGCAGCTCGCGCCGTTCTGCCGCTTCTGTGTACATACAACTCAGAAGTACGAGGGACCTGCAAATATTCAGAAAACCCATGAAGCTGCCCATGGAAAGCTAGCAGCAACCTGTCATGCTTTGGCCAAGGGGTTGCCAGAGAACATTGGTTTTTACACACACATGGTATGTTGCATGAAACACAGCTGAAAGTAAAGTAAAAGATGATATCTGCAGACACTTTTTGTTCTCTGGTCCAGTATTCTTCTTTGCATAACTTGTTGTGAGCATCTCCTAACTTCTGACCCTCTGCCGTTACATTTGCAAAAATTGTATGCATCCTCAGAGGACAGTTGTAGGGCTGGGTCATGTGACAACTTTGGATATCAAAGTTAAGCAAAAAGGAAGGAGAATCATATCTGTTATGTCATTTCTTACATATAATCACACATTCATGAAGTGCCACCTACCACAGTCAGTCACTGCAGCAATGTGATCTTTAAATACAGAGCACTACATGACAGTTAAATTAATAATTAAATCTCTGTACTTGGGACTATACTATATACAGGACCAAGAATCTCAGCTTTAAAGTCTTCAGGGTTTGGATTGGCAAAAGCTTATTTAAAAACAAAAACCGTAAGAGCAAAAACATTAAAAATATTTAACCTGGTAGTGGATGACGTGCTGCACATTGGGAATATCAAGACCACGAGCTGCAACATCTGTTGTCAGGAGGACACAGCTGAGAAAGTGATAACATTTAATGAACATAAAATTGAAGAGTAAACCATCTGCCATGGAACATAATACAGCAAGCTAGAATTCTACCACAGCAATTTAAGGAACAGATTTGTACTATATCATCTGCTGGAAATATGCTATTTGTTTACCCTTATAGAAAACGATACCCAATATTACATCAGAGGCAGTCTTGAAACAGCAATTAATGCAAATGTTACCTTCAGCAGGTCTATTCTGTTTCCAATAAAGAAACTCACTACCTTGCTGGATCCTGTTTTCCTATGCTTTTATTCTCTCCCAATTCACAAGAACACTAGCACAGATCGCTATTCAATGACCTAATCCAACCACTTGGCTGGGGGGTATGCTCCCTTTCATTACTTTTCTCAGTGCTCTGCCCAGCCTGGGTTTAAAAATATTTTTAGCTTGATATGACCGTACCATTAACACCACAGTCGATCTTTTGGCAGGAGAAATAGGTTATTACAAGTTTCTTCAGTTGAGAAAAAAATGACATTATTAACATTACAGATTTAATTAACAGCTTTTTGGGGCTGAAGTATCTTCTACCAAGTTGTACTCAAATAAGTTCTCTCAGTAAATCAAAAGCTAGAAATATAAAGGGGAGGGATTCTGTTCTGACAATTAATATTTCTCCTTACCCCCAGAAATGAAGAACTACTCAAAAAAGTCATTCTTTTATATAAAGTCTACTACAGAGACAAAAGTCTCCCTAGGTATGGAACAATTTGTTTTAAAAAAAAAAAATCTCCTAGCAACTGGAACGAATTACTTGTAGGTAACAGAAATTTGTTAAGATTTCATGGCTTCTGACTGCATACTCTATAGCTACAAGGTTCAAAGCCGAAATAAAAAGAAAATTCTACAGTCTGCAATCTGCGGGAAGACATAATAGATGGTCTCATGGATTTCTTCTTGCCTTGAAAATCTGCAGTCTCTGAAAATGCCCTGCCTGGCCTAGGCCAATGCTATCGATACTACATTTTGCCAAGGGATACTGCAGATCTATCATGGCAATTCAACCTCTCTCCCTTCTCTTGTATTACTCTAGGATACCTTGACCGTCAGGAAGCTAATTCATCTAACTCAACACGCAAAAGCCTAACCTAGCAAAAAGTGGTTATTTTTCTGATGGCTTAGTGAGATGAACTGACTTACAGAAGGATCAAATGAGCTGCAGAGCCAGGGCACAGGGGCAGAGAGGTGTGCAGGATGGTTATAAAAGCATATGGCTGAAAACAGGGCAAGTGACAGCTCTTTCAGCAGCAAGGAGCTGTCAGACCAGAGGATAACTCAGGCTCCAAGGGACCTCAGGAGGTCTCCAGTCCAACCTCCTCCTCAAAGCAGGATTACCTATAAGGTTGGACCAGGCTGCTCATGGCTTTATCCAACTGAGCCTCAAAAACATCCAAAAATGAGCAGCCTGTTCCAATGCCTGACTGTCCTCAAAGAGGAAAAGCTCTTTCTTACATTCAGCCTGAATCTCTCATTTCAACTTGAACCTCATCCACCTACCACACACCACTGTGAAGAACCTGGCTCCACCTTATTGATAACCTTCTTTTAAGGTATCAGAGAGCTACCATTAGGTTCCCACAGTCTTTTTCACCAGTGATATAAAGCCAGTGCCCTCAGCTTCTCCCCTTGCAAAGCAAGTGCTTCTTGATCATCTTGGTGGTCTTCCATTGAACTTGCTCCAGTTCATGACCTGAACCATCCTGTGAAACCTCATCCTTACTCGTTAATAACCTGGCCACATGAACAAGGCACTCGCATCCCCAGCTAACTCCCCCAACCTGCTCCTACTCTAACAGAGCTGTTTCCTCTCCCCACTACCCTTTACACAATTTCTTTTCTACCAGGAAGCAGAAAGTCAACTCACCTCTCTCGCTCAGCAAACCTTTCCAGGTTTTTCAGCCTTTGCTTTTGGTGCATGTTGGCATGCAAAGGAAGAGGATCGCAATTTAAGATTGTGAGGAGAGAACTGAGGCGTTTTACGCAGTCTATGCTGTTTGCAAAGACCATGGTTCTTCCTGGATACTGGAGAAGAAAGTAATAGAGATAATAGTCCTTCTCATTTGTATTACAGTGGATTCTGGTTTCTGTCAGAGTCTCAACAGTAGCCTCTTTCCTTGTTAAGTCTATCACTTTGGGTTTGCCCTTTATTCCTACTTTTTCCATTAACAATTCTAGTTTGGTCTTCTTGTCCATCTTTTTAGCATGCTTTTTCTGTAAAACTCTTGTGGGAGTCTGATGGACTAAAGTCAAAGTCGCAGAAAAAACAAAAGTCTGTCGTTGAGGGTTATACTGTGAATCATTTAAGAGTTCCAGCAACTGAGACAGCTCTAAGAAGTGACCTTTCTCAACCATTCGATCTGCTTCGTCAATCACAAGGCACCTGTCAAATATAGAAAACAGTAAAAATACACTTGCCCAGATAAATACAAATCTGATTCACTTCAAAAGAACTTTTCCTGCTAAACACATAATGGAAGTTCTGCATGTAAAACCCAAAGGAACACCAGGTATGCTGGGATAGCTACAGCAGCCTTCCACATTTCTTTTTGAAAAATCAGGTTTCTAAAGGAAAAACAAGGGGTTTGCTACTGGCTACACTTGACATTTCCTTCCATCAATATAACCTCTGTGCATTTCAATAACACACTCTGGCAAAGAAATAAGTGATCTTACATAGTTGCAATTATTTAATCAGTAAACATCATCAGTATGCAGTGACGCTCAATTCAGTATCCACTAGTTAGTCTAAAAGGCACTTTTACCTGAGCTGCCGAAGATTTGAAAGATGTGGGTGTCTCTCTTTAACTAACTCCCACAGACGGCCTGGGGTTGCAATTACAATTTCTGGCTTTCGATTCAGTACACGTTCTTGCTTCTGTGCAGCCATGCCTCCAACTAGAATTGCAGTCTTAATGCCTAGAACATATAAATAATACTTTTTATCTCACTAATTTATCAGTGAATGCCTTTACATACATACATTCAAAGAAGTATTTTTAAAAGTCTATACTGCAAATTTCAGCAAGCATTGTGGTCAGGAAACTTCAGGGGTTTTATATAACAGTGAACATGCAGCAATCCCCTCAATTTTACAGAAAAATCCTCATTATAGTTAGATGCCAAAAATAAAGTAGCCTTTCTTTTAGTGCACTTGTCTTCCAATAGAATCACCTATGTCCTCCATAGCTGTTAGCTTTGTTTACCCCTACTTAAGAATCTCATGCTTTGTCAATTGTATCTGCATGAACAAACATGTCCCTGTTATAAATAACCACATACTCCTCCAAGAATAACACTGAGAAATGTTTGTCTTGCTAATAACTGCTCATTTGCTATGGAATTATCCTAACAAGAATGCTCCTGCTCAATTAATGATTCTCTGGACTGCACAGTAGTGTAGAGACCCTGTTACCTTTAAGCAATTTGCTCAGGCACTAAAAGGACTTTAGCTTTGGAAGCACAGACTCCACATGTGGCTTATTTCACCCTACTTCTTCAAAGAACACAGTGGCCCATGACAAACTGTGCAAGATTCTTTGAGCATCCAACCTACCGCAGATCTCTCTTCCTACTACTTGTAGGACCCTGTGCTTCCAGGTAGGGTTTTTTTTCAAAGTGAGTTCAAGACCACAAAGAAAGCCCACATCAAAACATATTTTCTCTCCTGCTACAGCAACTATACATCACGTGGGCAGCAGATTTTTACACACAAATAGCACTGCTCCTAACAGAACTGTACTTAACATAAATTGATTATTTTGGGCTAGGAGTTAAAATTAGCCTTGTAATCAGCTGTAGACTGATGAGCGCAGCAGGACGTATAGACATCAAAGGAAGATGTACTTAAAAGCCGTTCACTGCACTACATATCCTCTTCAATAAACAATTACTACTACTGGAGAAGTGGGGAGTTGTTTCCCAATTCTCCCCACCTTGAATGCAGCCTCACTCATTCACTTAATAGATGTGCTGACCTCTGGTTTGGAAGAGAAAGGGACTGAATTACTTTCATCAAGCATGTTACCCAGCAATATGCTGTGACCTGACTGCTGTAGGAGGTAAATCAGACAATCCAGCAATGCCTTCTACCCTTAAATTTTATGGCCATTATTTCTTTTTTTCATAGATAGATCAAAATTATATA